AAAGAGATGAATGCACATATGCTTCCAGGATGGCCTTGGGGACTGCCCCACCCTTGGAGACTTAACCCCTGGGTCATAACTTCGAAATGGTTAAGATCCCCACCCCAAAACTATATATACAATTGTTGGGCATAAAGAGACAAATGCAGTCATGATATTAGAATTGACCCCAGGGTTTGCCCCACCCTTGCAGACTTAACCCCTGGGTCATAACTTTGAAACGGTTGAGATCCCCACCCCAAAACTATATATACAAATGCTGGGCAAAAAGAGACAAATGCAGTCATGATATTAGAATTGATCCTGGGGTCTGGCCACAACCATAGGGACCTAGTTTCTGAGTCACAGATTGGAAACAGTTGAGATCCCCACCCCATAACCATATATAAAATTGCTGGGCATGAAAAATCGAATACAGATATATATGCTACAAGGATTGGCCTTGGGGTCTGGCATATTCCCATGGATCTCCTTTGGAGAATATTCTGTCATGATTGCTTAGATAATCCAGGTGAGCGATACAGGCCCTATGGGCCTCTTGTTTGTTGTTGTAATTGTTTATTACTTAAAGTAATAGTATGCACTAACAATGTGAATATTGTGTGTTCAGGGTTCAATGCCAGCTTCCAGTACATCTAACACAGGATCAACCCCTACCCCTCAGGCTACTGCCTCAACCTCCCAGGGGACTACCCAAGGGACAGGGACAACCCAGGAGACAGGAGCCACCCAGGGGACTGGCACAGTGACGGCCCAAGCTGATGCCACAGCTCAACCTGTGATGACAGACGAGGCATTCACACAGCTGGTTCAGGGGATCGGTTCCATGATCACCCAGACTGCAGTTGGACAACCCCCTTCACAGACACTTGCTGAGTTCCTTGGGTCCCTAGGGGATGGCTACAATATGGCTCAAGGAGAAGGTAAGCATATTTCTAGGTAACCGGGGACACTAACTGATCACCGGGGGTCCTGAGGGGACTGCTATATAATGTGATATAAATGATAAAGAGGTGTATTATCAGGTAACCGGGGACACTAACTGATCACCAGGGCTCCTGAGGGGACTGCTATATAATGTGATATAAACAATAAAGAGGTGTATTATCAGGTAACAGGGGACACTAACTGATCACCAGGGCTCCTGAGGGGACTGCTATAGTGTGATATAAATGATAAAGAGGTGTATTATCAGGTAACAGGAGACAATAACTGGTCACCAGGGGTCCTGAGGGGACTGCTTTAATTTGATATAAATGATAAAGTAGTGTATTATCAGGTAACAGGGGACACTAACTGGTCACCAGGGGTCCTGAGGGGCCTGCTTTAATTTGATATAAATGATAAAGTAGTGTATTATCAGGTAACAGGGGGCACTAACTGGTCACCAGGGGTCCTGAGGGGACTGCTATAGTGTGATATAAATGATAAAGAGGTGTATTATTAGGTAACAGGGGACAATAACTGGTCACCAGGGGGCCTGAGGGGACTGCTTTGATTTGATATAAATGATAAAGAGGTGTATTATCAGTTAACAGGCGACACTAACTGGTCACCAGGGGTCCTGAGGGGACTGCTTTGATTTGATATAAATGATAAAGAGGTGTATTATCAGGTAACAGGGGACAATAACTGGTCACCAGGGGTCCTGAGGGGACTGCTTTGATTTGATATAAATGATAAAGAGGTGTATTATCAGGTAACAGGGGACACTAACTGGTCACCAGGGGTCCTGAGGGGACTGATATAATGTGGTATAAATGATAAAGAGGTGTATTATTTGATAACAGAGATCACAGACCCTGGATGACCTTGTGGTCATGATCATCTGCTTAAAATCTGGACCAATCCATCTAAAATATAGACGTGAGAGTTTATATGCAAGTAAATTAGTTGTAAAGTAATTTGAATTAAATGTCACATATTTTTTTATTTTAAAAAGAAATATAGATCACATCTGTAATTGAGAAGTTCATGATTTACATCTGTGACTATTTCAGGATTCTTCAATGATATCTACTCCTGTCTCTCTTCACACCTGACCTTTCCTGACCTTGTACAAGTTTTTTACGGCAACAGAGCACCTCTACAAAATGTGCGAGTACCATTACAGGATTTCTTACGAGAGCGTGTGTTGGAGGGCAGGGAACCAACGATGGAAAACATAACAGAGGCCTCTCATAGACTTGTGGAGGAGATGTCGGAGGAGATTGAAGCATGTGCAGTATGTGTTCAGAGTCAAGGGTGGAAATAGCAGAAATAAAAGGAGGGAGGGCATATAACAGATTACAGACTACACTGTGTGTAGTGGAGGGAGGGGCAGATTTCAGACTGCAGACTACACTCTGTGTATGGGAGGGAAGGGCAGACTACACTCTGTGTATGGGAGGGAAGGGCAGACTACACTCTGTGTATGGGAGGGAAGGGCAGACTACACTCTGTGTATGGGAGGGAAGGGCAGACTACACTCTGTGTATGGGAGGGAAGGGCAGACTACACTCTGTGTATGGGAGGGAAGGGCAGACTACACTCTGTGTATGGGAGGGAAGGGCAGACTACACTCTGTGTATGGGAGGGAAGGGCAGACTACACTCTGTGTATGGGAGGGAAGGGCAGACTACACTCTGTGTATGGGAGGGAAGGGCAGACTACACTCTGTGTATGGGAGGGAAGGGCAGACTACACTCTGTGTATGGGAGGGAAGGGCAGACTACACTCTGTGTATGGGAGGGAAGGGCAGACTACACTCTGTGTATGGGAGGGAAGGGCAGACTACACTCTGTGTATGGGAGGGAAGGGCAGATTACAACATCTTTATGTGTATGGGAGAGAAGGGCAGATTACAACATCTTTATGTGTATGGGAGAGAAGGGCAGATTACAACATCTTTATGTGTATGGGAGGGAAGGGCAGATTACAACATCTTTATGTGTATGGGAGGGAGGGGCAGATTACAACATCTTTATGTTTAGGGGTGATAGGGGCAGATTACAACATCTTTATGTGTAGGGGTGATAGGGGCAGATTACAACATCTCTATGTGTAGGGGTGATAGGGGCAGATTACAACATCTTTATGTGTAGGGGTGATAGGGGCAGATTACAACATCTTTATGTGTATGGGTGGGAGGGGCAGATTACAACATCTTTATGTTTAGGGGAGGAAGGGACAACTTACTGCATCTGTATGTGTAGGGGTGATAGGGGCAGATTACAACATCTTTATGTGTATGGATGGGAGGGGCAGATTACAACATCTTTATGTGTAGGGGAGGAAGGGACAAATTACTGCATCTGTATGTGCAATTTATGTTATTTCATGAACAAGAAATCAATGTTTAAACATTAACTTTCAGACTGTTGCAGAGGTAAAGCCCGACATAGATATGGTGGAGACTCTCAACAATTTTTTCAGACAGCAATTTACAGCCACAGTCCGCATGGTCATGTTAGCAGATGGTTTGTATTTCTGTAAATTTCTGTATTAACAGCAGTTCTATTGATTAAATATGAAGTATGAGGAGGATTCAGTTTTGTATTAATGAAAGATGAAACTCTGATTTGGACTGGAGAATTGGGAGGTGTGTTAAATGAAAGTCTGGGACAAACACTACTTCTTATTTAGGTCCAAAAAGTATATGTTAACAAAATTTGTTGCAAATGATTGCATCATGAACAGTAATTATTGTTTGGGATGATTTGAATTTCTCAAGTGTCAAAATTTTCCTCAAGATGACTGAGACAATGTGGACTTTTATCTATATCTTCCAGAATCAAACACAAATTTTGGTAACCAATTTTATGAACGGATGAGGCTGAGTTTGGCAGAGTTGATTGTTCTGACAAGATCGAGTTTAGTGGAAGGCCATCCAGCGTTACAGAGAATCATACAGAGTCGCCTGGTAAGTTACATCCCTATACTGACCACAGATAATTATACAGTCAACTAAGTCACGTCCCTATACTGACCTTAGATAGTTATACAGTCAACTAAGTCATGTCCCTATACTGACCACAGATAATTATAGTCAACTAAGTCACGTCCCTATACTGACCACAGATAATTATAGTCAACTAAGTCACGTCCCTATACTGACCACAGATAATTATAGTCAACTAAGTCACGTCCCTATACTGACCACAGATAATTATAGTCAACTAAGTCACGTCCCTATACTGACCACAGATAATTATAGTCAACTAAGTCACGTCCCTATACTGACCACAGATAATTATAGTCAACTAAGTCACGTCCCTATACTGACCACAGATAATTATAGTCAACTAAGTCACGTCCCTATACTGACCACAGATAATTATAGTCAACTAAGTCACGTCCCTATACTGACCACAGATAATTATAGTCAACTAAGTCACATCCCTATACTAACCACAGATAATTATAGTCAACTAAGTCACATCCCTATACTGACCTTAGATAATTATACAGTCAACTAAGTCATGTCCCTATACTAACCACAGATAATTATAGTCAACTAAGTCACGTCCCTATACTGACCACAGATAATTAAACAGTCAACTAAGTCATGTCCCTATACTTACCACAGATAATTATAGTCAACTAAGTCACATCCCTATACTGACCTTAGATAGTTATACAGTCAACTAAGTCATGTCCCTATACTAACCACAGATAAATATACAGTCAACTAAATCATGTCCCTATACTAACCACAGATAATTATAGTCAACTAAGTCACATCCCTATACTGACCTTAGATAATTATACAGTCAACTGAGTCATATCCCTATACTGACCACAGATAATTATACAGTCGACTGGTAAGTTATGTCCCTATACTGACCACAGATAATTATTCAGAGTCGACTGGTAAGTTATGTCCCTTTACTGACCACAGATAATTATACAGTCGACTGGTAAGTTATGCCCCTTTACTGACCACAGATAATTATAGTCAACTAAGTCACATCTCTATACTTACCACAGATAATTATAGTCAACTAAGTCATGTCCCTATACTAACCACAGATTATTATAGTCAACTAAGTCATGTCCCTGTACTGACCACAGATAATTATAGTCAACTAAGTCACGACCCTATACTAACCACAGATAATTATACAGTCAACTAAGTCACATCCCTATACTGACCACATATAATTATAGTCAACTAATTCACATCCCTGTACTGACCACAGATAAGGATACAGTCAACTGAGCCATTTCCCTATACTGACCACAGATAGTTATAGTCAACTAAGTCATGTCCCTATACTGACCACTGATAATTATAGTCAACTAATTCACATCCCTGTACTGACCCCAGATAAGTATACAGTCAACTAAGCCATTTCCCTATACTGACCACAGATAATAATTCAGAGCCGACTGGTAAGTTATGTCCCTTTACTGACCACAGATAATCATTCAGAGTCGACTGGTAAGTTATATCCCTATACTGACCACAGATAATTATAGTCAACTAAGTCACATCCCTGTACTGACCACAGATAAGTATACAGTCAACTGAGCCATTTCCCTATACTGACCACAGATAATTATATAGAGTCGACTGGTAAGTTATGTCCCTATACTGACCACAGATAATTATACAGTCGACTAAGTCACGTCCCTATACTGACCACAGATAATTATATGGAGTCGACTGGTAAGTCATGTCCCTATACTGACCACAGATAATTTTACAGAGTCGACTGGTAAGTTATGTCCACTTACTTCTCTTACTTACAAATTGCCAGAATCGGGGTTAATAACCCTAACCACACGTTTCCTCTCTCCTACAGAATGTCATTACTCGGGGGGTGAACCCAATGATACAACAGTGGATGTGTAATGTCATCACTCAACAGCTGAACCAGTTCCTCCCCACAATCACCATTACTGATGCCGATGTCCACTCCTACATCGTCAAAAAGGACAGCAAGAAAAAAGCCTCAAAACCTGAAAAGAAAGATGAAGCAGCCACTGCTGTTGCCATGGAAACAAGTCCACCTATGGTTTCACCAGGAGCCTCACAAGTAGAGTCTCCCGAGGTTAGTGGCTCAGCATGTCTGTCAGCTAAAGACACCCTCACTATATCTGTATCACCAGGGCAAAAAAGTAAAAAAATCCATACTGTATTTGTTTATTGACACTGCAGTAAAATGTATAGCCAAGCTAGGATTTTTTTCGTCATGTTAATCAACGTTTATTTACCTGATGTTGAAATTTCAAAGCTGTTTGAAGTTTTATTAGCTCACTTGGCCCAAGTTTGTTCAAATAAATGACCTCCATCAATATTCAAGACCACACGGGTCAAATATGTAAAAAAAAAAAAAAAAAAAAAAAAAATAATCTTCTTAATAACCAAAATGCTCAGGGGGATGATATTTGGTCCGTAGCATGCTGGGATGAAGGGCTACCAAGTTTGTTCAAATAAATTACCTTCACACATATTCAAGGTCACAGGGGTCAAATATGTTAAAATCTTTAAACGACTTCTGAATAACCAAAAGGCCCAGGATGATGATATCTTGCCAGTAGCATGCTTTGATGAGGGGCTACCAAGTTTGTTAAAATGAATGACCTTGGCCACTATTCAAAGTCATAGGGGTCAAATATGTTAAAATCTTTTAATGACTTCTTGTGAAAAACCAAAAGGCCAAGGATAATGATATATGAACAGTAGCATGCAAGGATGAGGAGCTAAAAAAAATTGTAAAGTGAATGACCTTGACCTGTATTCAAGGTTACAGAGGTCAAATATGTTTAAAATCTTTATATGACTTCTTCTGAATAACCAAAAGGCCCAGGATGATGATACCTGGCCAGTAGCATGCTACCATGAAAGGCTACAAAGTTTGTTCAAACGAATGACCTTGCCTTATATTTGAGGTCACAGGGGTCAAACATGTTTGAAACTTTAAACTTCTCAATAACCAAAAAGCCTAGGATGATGATATTTGGCCAGGAGCATGCTAGGATGAAGGGCTACCAACTGTGTTCAAACGAATGACCTTGACATATATTCAAGGTCACAGGGGTCAAATATATTTAAAACCTTTAAACAACTTTTTCTCAATAACTAAAAGGCTTAAGATGTTGATATTTTGTCAATAGCATGCTAGGATGTAAGGCTACCAGGTTTGTTCAAACAAATGACCTTCGCTCATTTTCAAGTTCACAGGTCTCTAATAGGTTTATAACCTTTGAACGTCGTCTTCTCAAAAACTAAAAGGCCTAGGATGATGATATTTGGCCAGGATCATGCTAGGATGACTACAAAGTTTGTTCAAACAAATAACCTTGACATATATTCAAGGTCACGGGGGTGAACTATTTTTAAAAACCTTTAAACAAACTCTTCTAAATAACCAAAAGGCCTAGGATGTTGATATTTGGCCAATACTATGCTGGGATGAAGGGCTTCCAAGTTTTTTCAAACAAATTACCTTCACCCATTTTCAAGGTCGCAGGGGTCAAATATTTTTTAAACCTTTACAGACTTCTCATTTTTTTCAAACAAATTACCTTCACCCATATTCAAAGTGATATGTGTCAAACATGCTTAAAACCTTGTATCAACTTATTCTGAATAACCAAAAGGTCCAGGGTAATGATATTTGGCCAGAAGCATGCTGGTATGAAAGGCTACAAACTCTGTTCAAATTAATGACCTTGTGTGACTTTCAAGGTCACAGGCATCATATGTTTTAATCTTTTAATAGGTTCTTATGAATGAAACACTGATATTTTGCCTGTAGTTGTATTTTAGTCAATTTTTAAGATAACAAGTGTGAGATTAATACCAGTTGAGCGATTCAGGCCCATTTGGCCTCTTGTTGATAATAAGTATCTGAACAATTGTTTTAATACAATACAATTGCTGTCTTAGCTTGTTCAATGGAAATATGTGAAAAGTAAAATGATGTGCAAAACTTACACACACAGGTACAACTATATATCTGAGTGAGTGCCAAGTTCTACATTGATAGGTTAAGTGACATGGTGATGGTTTAATATACCGCTTGACTTTGTAGCCTATGGAGACCCAGAACAACAACACCGGGGCCTCAGTTGCACCTCGCCCACAACCAGCTACAGCTGCAGCCACCAAACTTCCTCCTCCCAAGGTCAAGAAAGAGGAGCCCAAGGCCAACTCTCCCGGGGCAGCAGCTGGCGGGGAATGCTGGCAGCTGGAGGTTAACCCTGTGAGTACTGACCCGCTTATTGACCTCATGTTGTCTGTCTATCGGGCTTGATTTTACATCTCAGTAGTGGCGGAATCATGATAATATCATACCATTATTGATACAATTGCGATTATTTTAATGGATTATTTTTTTTCTTAAACCCATGTTATGAATTTATGATTTAAGTGGATTTATTTTGGTCTATCAGTAAAACACTGTGGTACATGGTAATGCTGTCTGTCCATCCAGCTCTGTTATATTGATATACTATGCAAGTTTTGTTCCAATTTTGCATACAAGTTACATGTATTGTTGACATCTTAATGCCACCCTGGAAATTCACACTCGGGTACGTTCTCTACACCCCTGGAATATGTCAAGGCAAAATTGAAGACACATGGTTACTAATTTGATTGGTTTCATGTGCAAAAGCTGACAAATTGCTACGCTGATGATACCTGTCCTATGAAGATTACAGAAAGGCGACACAAGACTTCAAAGCTCTTCAATTTTACTGTTAAGCTTCTTTGTGACTTCTTTCGATGTATAGAGCCTTTGATTTAAACATGATATATTCCAGGGGTGCAGATAATGTAAGTAAGTGTAGCCCCTGGAATTTGGAGGATGTGTGTATACAGAAATATTGCTTTGATTTTCTGCATTATGCCTTCTATGGCCTTTTTTATCTGAATAATGAAATTTGTTTGTCTGGCATCTAACTTTCTACTTATTTGGTATAGTAACATCTTTATATGCAAGTACATCCTTGGGAGTGAAGCGTCATACATCAAAAACAGGTCTCTCTTACTTCAGGTTTTTCTTCAACCTTCTAAAAAAAACTGGAAAATATACACACATTGCTTTGTGTTTTGGTGTGTAGATAGATCAGGGGAAGACAGTGTCATGTAGATGTGAACCTGTCTGACTTTGTTCCTACATTGTTCAATGTCTGACTTTGTTCCTACATTGTTCAATGCCTGACTTTGTTCCTACATTGTTCCATGCCTGAGAATTGTGTTGTTTTCTACAGGACTGGGTGCCAATCATTAACGGTGACATAGAAAAGCAGAAACACCAGCGCCCTCAGCAACCTTTCAGTGATACCTACCTACAGGGCATGCCTGCTAAACGCAGGAAGGTAATTTCTCTCATCCTTCTTTGTGCAAGATAGAAATTTGTTAGGTAAAAAAGCAGTCACATGAGGCTGTAAATAAAATCTATCTTAATGCTGATGACAAAATGATAACCAATCAAATTAAATAATGTCAAACTAGGAAAATGGGTTAATTTTCCCTCATAACATATTGTTTTTAGGTCACCTGAGCTTTGCTCAAGTGACCTATTCCAATCACTTTCCGTCCGTCGTCGTCCGTCGTCCGTCGTGCGTAAACTTTTTACATTATCAACTTCTTCTCAAGAACCAGTGGATGGAATTTGTTCAAACTTGGTCAGAATCATCCTTGGTAGATGAGGCTACCAAATTGTAAAATTGGGATTCCTACCCTAACCCTAGGGGCCAGGGCGGGGCCCAAAAGGGAAAATTAACCAATATTTCAAAAATCTTCTTCTCCAGACTCAGAGGTATTACAGTCATTTTCTCTGCATGGATGGAAAGATCATCAGGGGCTTTATTTAAATTGTAAATTTCAGGACCCCCGAGCTATCCGTTCTCCCTTGGGGAGGGGGTAAAGTTTACTATAGTTTATATAGGGAAACAACACTTTTGGGTATATTTTGACAATTTTCTGTTGGAAATTATTTTTACTTGGTCAGAATCATCTTTGGTGGATGACGGTATCACATTGTAAACTTGGAATTCCTGCCCCATCCCCAGGGGTTAGAGCGGAACCCCAATGGAATTCCTGCCCCATCCCCAGGGGTTAGAGCGGGGCCCCAAAGGGAACATTTACAAATATTTTAAAATTCTTATCCTTTGATGACATGACAAGTATTGTATTTCACTTAGTTTACATGCTGACTTCCACATCACATCTAAACAATAAAATAAAGCTACCAGTACCTATGATATAACTCAGGTGACCGCTAAGGCCCTTAGGCCTCTTGTTTCTTATAAAGTCATGATATGGGATGGAAAAAAAATTCACACCTGTACATGGAGAAATAGTGCACTTCAACCACCCTTCAAATATGAAGGAGTCTTTCATTGTTCTTAAAGTATAATTAATTTCTGTTCATAGTATGATAGATATCAAGTCTTAACATCATGGTAGGTAATTTCTCCTAACAGACTTAAAATGTGTATACTTATTGAGGATTACTGCATCAATATATCAATTATGGGTCACTGTGACCTATATTTTCTGCTTCACTGACTTTGGTTAGACAATGTGCTCAGCTAGGTATGATGGTAAATAGTTAGACTTGGCATGGGGAGTACCTCCATTTCTATCAAAGCAGTAGTGGCAGATAGGGCATATGTGAGGCCAGACAAAAATTATATGTTCTTGTAACATGTTGGAAAAATTTAGGGTAGGTAGGTAACAAATTTTATTTCAACAAATAATTTTATAAAGTTTATATAGGAGAGTGATCTTGACTTTAACAGTGCTTCTTTGAAAATTGCCTTAAAAAAATTAGAGTAGGCACAACAAATTTGGGGAGGTAAGGTTACCGGAAACCCCAAATATTGTTTGTTTGGCCTAATATATGTGTTACAAACATTTTCAACTTAATAAATGTTTGATACAATTATTTTTTCAGATTATGGGTCAGGAAGGCCAGGTGAATTTCTCTAATGCAGAAGAGTGTGTGCCTCTGTCGTTACGACGTGCAGTGGCAGCAGCCGGAGTAGAACCAATCAGCAGTCTGGAAAATCTGACCAGTGAGGCGTCGGATAATAATGAACTGCAGCACGCTTTTGATGAGCAAGTTTTGAGCAGTATAAGAGATCGTCTGGACAGTGATAGTGATTATAAGCCAGAACAGTTCCCCAACACAGATCGCTACTATCATAGAAATAACAAAAAATGATTTACTGCAGGTTGTATGATTTAGTGTTTGATATTACCACAGTCATACCAGAGGATATGTGTTTGTACCGTTTACTGATTGTAAATACATAATTGGGTTATTGTATCATTTAGAGCACTGTAACCTACACTTCACGAAGGTTGTACTACACCGTGACCTTGACAACACACAGGGTGTATTTATAACATGTCTGTTACAATTTCATCTTAAAGTTACAGTGATTATATGGTAAACTGTTACCGTACCATTGATTGGTGATATGGCCCTATGTGTTTATTTGCCAAAGTGTTTAATAATAACATATTGTGCTGTGTAATGGCCCAGTGTGTTAAATAACAACATATTGTGCTGTGTAATGGCCCAGTGTGTTTATAATAACATATTGTGCTGTGTAATGGCCCAGTGTGGTTAATTACAACATGTTGAGCTGTGTAATGGCCAAGTGTGGTTAATAACAACATGTTGAGCTGTGTAATGGCCCAGTGTGGTTAATTACAACATGTTGAGCTGTGCAATAGCCCAGTGTGTTTAATAACAACATGTTGAGCTGTGTAATGGCCCAGTGTGTTTAATTACAACATGTTGAGCTGTGTAATGGCCCAGTGTTGTTAATTACAACATGTTGAGCTGTGTAATGGCCAAGTGTGTTTAATAACAACATATTGTGCTGTGTTAAGGCCCAGTGTGTTAAATAACAACATATTGTGCTGTGTACTGGCCCAGTGTGTTTAATAACAACATATTGTGCTGAGTTATGGCCCAGCGTGTTAAATAACAACATATTGTGCTGTGTACTGGCCCAGTGTGTTTAATAACAACATATTGTGCTGGGTAATGGCCCAGTGTGTTTAATTACAACATGTTGAGCTGTGTAATGGCCCAGTGTTGTTAATTACAACATGTTGAGCTGTGTAATAGCCCAGTGTGTTTAATAACAACATGTTGAGCTGTGTAATGGCCCAGTGTGGTTAATTACAACATGTTGCGCTGTGTAATGGCCAAGTGTGGTTAATAACAACATGTTGAGCTGTGTAATGGCCCAGTGTGTTTAATAACAACATATTGTGCTGTGTAATGGCCAAGTGTGTTAATTACAACATGTTGAGCTGTGTAATAGCCCAGTGTGTTTAATAACAACATGTTGAGCTGTGTAATGGCCCAGTGTGTTTAATTACAACATATTGTGCTATGCAATGGCCCAGTGTTTTTAATAACAACATAGTGTGCTGTGTAATGGCCCAGTGTGTTTTATAGTGACATTTTAAATGGTGATTTGACCTAATATATTTAATAACAACATTGAGTGGAGATATTGCCCCATGTGTTTAACACATTCAGTGATGATATTGCTCAGTGTATTTAATAACATATTGAGCTGAGTAATGGCCATTAATATTGCTGCAGTACTAAGACACGTAATGATAGCTGGTACTTCATCATTCCAGAAGCTGAAATAAAATTGCATCCTAGATTTTTCTTGAAACAATGAACTTTATTACTGTGATCAGTAATGTCACCTGTCAGTCTATAACAATTTTACTCTGATCAGATGACTTTTAGTACTAACATAGAACACAGAATTTAAGGCCTTTTTTCTGTAAAAAAACAAAAAGGCCAATATTTAGAGTTGTTCGTTTCCATTCTGTGCCCTAAATCATTGATGTATTTTATATTTCCAGAGATTTTTTTATTAATAAAAACTCTGCCTTGTTTGTCTGATAGTCTTGATCAGCACTGATTGATTGGAATAGACAACAGGTTAGTCAAGCTGAGACTGTTTTTATGTTACTAAAAACCAAGATCAGCCCTAACCGCTTTTTCTAGCCTACATTTTTGTGCAGCTTTGACACACTTGTCTGGCTGACAATAAAGGCTTGCTTTGACTGGTTTGTCTGGCTGATAATCTGTACACACATTGACTGGTTTGTCTGGCTGATTATCTGTACAGGCCCTGACTGGTTTGTCTGGCTGATAAACCGTACTCACATTGACTGGTTTGTCTGTCTGATAATCTGTAAACACATTGACTGGTTTGTCTGGCTGATAATCTGTACAGGCCCTGACTGGTTTGTCTGGCTGATAATCCGTACTCACATTGACTGGTTTGTCTGGCTGATAATCTGTACAGGCCCTGACTGGTTTTTCTGGTTGATAATCTGTACAGACCCTGACTGGTTTGTCTGTCTCATAATCTGTACACACATTGACTGGTTTGTCTGGCTGATAATCTGTACACACATTGACTGGTTTGTCTGGCTGATGATCTGTACAGCCCCTGACTGGTTTGTCTGGCTGATAATCTGTACAGGCCCTGACTGGTTTTTCTGGCTGATAATCTGTACAGACCCTGACTGGTTTGTCTGTCTCATAATCTGTACACACATTGACTGGTTTGTCTGGCTGATAATCCGTACTCACATTGACTGGTTTGTTTGGCTGATAATCTGTACAGGCCCTGACTGGTTTTTCTGGCTGATTATCTGTACAGGCCCTGACTGGTTACACACATTGACTGGTTTGTCTGGCTGATAATCTGTACACACATTGACCGGTTTGTCTGGCTGATAATCTGTACACACATTGACTGGTTTGTCTGTCTGATTATCTGTACAGGCCCTGTCTGGTTTGTCTGGCTGATCATCTGTGCAGACCCTGACTGGTTACACACATTGACTGGTTTGTCTGGCTGATAATCTGTACAGACCCTGACTGGTTACACACATTGACTGGTTTGTCTGGCTGATAATCTGTACACACATTGACTGGTTTGTCTGGCTGATAATCTGTACAGACCCTGACTGGTTACACACATTTACTGGTTTGTCTGGCTGATAATCTGTACACACATTGACTGGTTTGTCTGGCTGATAATCCGTACTCACATTGACTGGTTTGTCTGGCTGATAATCTGTACAGGCCCTGACTCGTTACACACATTGACTGGTTTGTCTGGCTGATAATCCGTACTCACATTGACTGGTTTGTCTGGCTGATAATCTGTACCCACATTGACTGGTTTGTCTGGCTGATGATCTGTACACACATTGACTGGTTTGTCTGGCTGATAATCTGTACACACATTGACCGGTTTGTCTGGCTGATAATCTGTACACACATTGACTGGTTTGTCTGGCTGATAATCCGTACTCACATTGACTGGTTTGTCTGGCTGATAATCTGTACAGGCCCGGACTGGTTTGTCTGGCTGACTATCTGTACAGACCCTGGCTGGTTTGTCTGGCTGATTATCTGTACAGGCCCTGACTGGTTTGTCTGGCTGATTATCTGTACAGGCCCTGTCTGGTTTGTCTGGCTGATCATCTGTGCAGACCCTGACTGGTTACACACATTGACTGGTTTGTCTGGCTGATAATCCGTACTCACATTGACTGGTTTGTCTGGCTGATAATCTGTACCCACATTGACTGGTTTGTCTGGCTGATTATCTGTACAGGCCTTGACTGGTTTGTCTGGCTGATTATCTGTACAGGCCCTGACTGGTTTGTCTGGCTGATGATCTGGACAGGCCCTGACTGGTTTGTCTGGCTGATAATCTGTACCCACATTGACTGGTTTGTCTGGCTGATTATCTTATTTGACCTATGGGTCACTGCCATCTATACCAGCTGTATTGTTTGAGAGAAGTTAATTGAACCTCTTTCATACTTGTTACCTAATAAAACTGATTGTTATCTGCTTGTGTAAAATTGAGTGTTATCTAAATCTAGTTCCAAGGGGAAAAGTTGAAATGTAATGAAGATGGGAAGGTAGAAAGACAGTAAAATATAAGTGGGTGGAACTATATGAATATATGAAGTTAGTATAACACTCCTGTACATTATGCAAATGTTGAGATGGCAATAACAGTGATTCCCTGGTAGACCGGCCTTGCTTCTGTTGTTTGATTGTAACATGAGTACTATTTTATAAGTATGTAATCTATAGTTTTATGGTATCTCATTAAGATTTTATCCCACAAACACAATCCAAAACCATACACCTGACTATTCGGTATTGTTATTCCCTAGTCTTGATCAATGCACCCTTGTTTAGTTCTTTCTGAAGTTGTTTGTCAAAACAGGGTTCTTAGCATCAATACAATACGTGGACAAAATAAAATGTAGTTCTTAATGAAAAAGCCTTTTCTCTATTTAAAAATCCATGCATAATTCATGTTATGTCAAATTAATATTAAAAGTCTTTTAAAATGATTTTAATGTTTTTTTCGTTTATAGATGTACATGATCATGTGATCATCTAAACATCACTCTCACATATATTTCACTGGTTTATCACAAAAATCAACATCCCTCCAGCTTTCCAAGATTGTTAAAAAGTCAAAAAAAATCACAGGATTGTCCGACAAGTCAGCCTCCTTCATACTTAACGGGATAGGTCAGCATTACTCATACTTAACGGGATAGGTCAACATTACTCATACTTAACGGGATAGGTCAACATTACTCATACTTAACGGGATAGGTCAACATTACTCATACTTAACGGGATAGGTCAACATTACTCATACTTAACGGGATAGGTCAACATTACTCATACTTAACGGGATAGGTCAACATTACTCATACTTAACGGGATAGGTCAACATTACTCATACTTAACGGGATAGGTCAACATTACTCATACTTAACGGGATAGGTCAACATTACTCATACTTAACGGGATAGGTCAACATTACTCATACTTAACGGGATAGGTCAACATTACTCATACTTAACGGGATAGGTCAACATTACTCATACTTAACGGGATAGGTCAACATTACTCATACTTAACGGGATAGGTCAACATTACTCATACTTAACGGGATAGGTCAACATTACTCATACTTAACGGGATAGGTCAACATTACTCATACTTAACGGGATAGGTCAACATTACTCATACTTAACGGGATAGGTCAACATTACTCATACTTAACGGGATAGGTCAACATTACTCATACTTAACGGGATAGGTCAACATTACTCATACTTAACGGGATAGGTCAACATTACTCATACTTAACGGGATAGGTCAACATTACTCATACTTAACGGGATAGGTCAACATTACTCATACTTAACGGGATAGGTCAACATTACTCATACTTAACGGGATAGGTCAACATTACTCATACTTAACGGGATAGGTCAACATTACTCATACTTAACGGGATAGGTCAACATTACTCATACTTAACGGGATAGGTCAACATTACTCTCACTCATTCATCTAGTAGGCTTTTTTAGCTTGTTAAAAAATACCCTGGCCCACTTTGGTATAATGTCTTCAAGATATCTAGTAGCTTCTATGTACTATGCTATCAAAAGTTATGATATTTCTCCTCTTTATGGCTGGGAAGGAGGTCTACAAGGTTTTCCAATAAACAATGCTGAGCTATTTAAAAGGACACATGAGTCAAATATACAAACAGTCACAAGAGTTGCCTGACAGCTTCTTGATGGAATGGCTATGAAATTTAGTAAATGAAGTTACATGGCTTCAATGTTGAACTTAAATAGGTGAGCGTTTTAGGCTCTTGTACCTGCTCTTAAGATATGGATTAAAGGAGAACGTATCGAGAGATTCTGTGCTCTACAACATGTCATTGGGACATTCAGAACTTAAGAAACTATAGTGGGAAAATGCACCAATTTAGAAAATGTCTTGATTACATGCAATAGTTTGTCATACATCACATGGATGTGTACAACATTGAAATACGTGAGGAGGATATGCACTTCTTTGTGCACTGAATAAGTTAATATTATGGAATTTTAGAACCATTCATGAAGTGATAAAGTTCAGTACATCAGAAAACAACCAGCACAATGACATGTTTGTTATGCATCATAAAGATATGCAATGCTTCGGCAAGACACTTTGAAATCAGTCATGTCGCTCATGTGGATATCTACATCTTTGAAACAAGTCGTATAGATATTCACTACATTGAATAACTTCATGTGGATGTCAAAAATTTTGAAACATGTCATATGAATGTCCACTTCATTGAAATAAGTCATGTGGATGTCCACTACATTAAAACACGTCATGTAGATGTCTGCAACTTTAAAACACGTCATGTGGATGTCTGCAACTTTGGAACACGTCATGTGGCTATCCACAATTTTAAAACACGTCATGTGGATGTCTGCAAATTTGAATTACATCATGTGGATATCCACAACTTTAAAATATGTCATGTGGATGTGTGCAAATTTGAAACACGTCATGTGGTTGTCTGCAACTTTGAAACACGTCGTGTGGATGCCTGCAACTTTGGAGCACATCATGTGAATATCCACAACTTTGAAATATGTCATGTGGATGTCTGTAATTTTGAAACAGGTCATGTGGATATATGCAACTTGGAAATACGTCATGTGGATGTCTACAACTTTGAAACACATCATGAGGATGTCCACTATATTGAAACATGTCATGTGGATGTCAGTAACTTTAAAACACATCATGTGGATATCCACAACTTTGAAAAACTTGTCATGTGGATGTGTTCAACTTTGAAACACATCATGTGGATGTGTTCAACTTTGAAACATGTCATGTGGATATGTGCAACTTTGAAACACATCATGTGGAAATATGCATCCTTAGAACACGTCATGTGGATATCAAGAACTTTAAAACATGTAATGTGGATGTCTATAATTTTTGAAACACGTCGTGTGGATATTTGCAACTTTGAAACACATCATGTGGATGTACACTATATTGAAACATGTCATGTGGGTATCCACAACTTTGAAAAACACGTCATGTGGATGTGTTCAACTTTGAAAGATGTCATGTGGATGTGTGCAACTTTGAAACATGTCATGTGAATGTGTGCAACTTTCAAACATTACATGTGGATGTGTTCAACTTTCAAACACGTCATGTGGATGTCTGCAACTTTCAAACACGTCATGTGGATGTGTGCAACTTTGAAACATGTCATGTGGGTGTCTGCAAATTTGAAATACATCATGTGGATATCCACAACTTTAAAATATGTCATGTGGATGTGTGCAAATTTGAAACATGTCATGTGGATGTCTGCAACTTTGAAACACGTCATGTGGATGCCTGCAACTTTGGAGCACATCATGTGAATATCCACAACTTTGAAATATGTCATGTGGATGTCTGTAATTTTGAAACAGGTCATGTGGATATCCACAACTTTGAAAAACACGTCATGTGGATGTGTTCAACTTTGAAAGATGTCATGTGGATGTGTGCAACTTTGAAACATATCATGTGAATGTGTGCAACTTTCAAACATTACATGTGGATGTGTTCAACTTTCAAACACGTCATGTGGATGTGTGCAACTTTCAAACACGTCATGTTGATGTGTGCAACTTTCAAACATGTCATGTGGATGTGTGCAACTTTCAAACATGACATGAGGATGTGTGCAACTTTCAAACATGTCATGTGGATGTCTATATCTTTGAAACACGTCATGTCGATGTCCACAATTTTGAAACACTTGATGTGGATGTCCACAACTTTGAAACACGTCATATGGATCTGTGCAGCTTTGAAACATGTCATGTGGATGTCTGCAACTTTCAAACATGTCATGTGGATGTGTGCAACTTTCAAACACGTCATGTGGATGTCAATATCTTTGAAACAGGTCATGTCGATGTCCACAATTTTAAAACACTTGATGTGGATGTCCACAACTTTGAAACACGTCATGTCGATGTGTGCAACTTTGAAACATGTCATGTGAATGTGTGCAACTTTCAAACATTACATGTGGATGTGTTCAACTTTCAAACACGTCATGTGGATGTGTTCAACTTTCAAACATGTCATGTGGATGTGTGCAACTTTCAAACACGTCATGTTGATGTGTGCAACTTTCAAACATGTCATGTGGATGTCTGCAATTTTGAAACACTTGATGTGGATGTCCACAACTTTGAAACACGTCATGTCGATGTGTGCAACTTTGAAACATGTCATGTGAATGTGTGCAACTTTCAAACATGACATGTGGATGTGTGCAACTTTGAAACACGTCATGTGGACGGTTCAACTTTGAAACACGTCATGTGGATGTGTGCAACTTTCAAACATGTCATGTGGATGTCTGCAACTTTCAAACATGTCATGTGGATGTCTGCAACTTTGAAACATGTCATGTGGATGTGTGCAACTTTCAAACATGACATGTGGATGTGTGCAACTTTCAAACATGTCATGTGGATGTCAACATCTTTGAAACACGTCATGTCGATGTCCACAATTTTTAAACACTTGATGTGGATGTCCACAACTTTGAAACACGTCATGCTGATGTCCGCAACTTTGAAACACGTCATGCTGATGTCCGCAACTTTGAAACACGTCATCCTGATGTCCACAATTTTTAAACACGTCATGTTGAAGTCCACAACTTTGAAACACGTCATGTGGATGTCCGCAACATTGAAACACGTCATGTGTATATCCACAACCTTGAAACACGTCATGTTGAAGTCCATAACTTTGAATGTTCACATTTTTGGAACACGTCATGAGAATGTGTGTTGCTCAAGTAACATCATATAGAATTTGAAAAGGATAGTTCCCCTGGGGAACCTCTAAAGAGGAGAAAGCGCTAGGTACGTTGAAGAAACTTTTGTTTTTTATAAATTTATATATATATTTATAGCTTCACTACAATGCACGTGCATATAACATAATACAGAATTATACACTGATACCGATTTAAATTTTATATATATACATCCGCTAATGCACATTTAAATTATCTACAAATTACACGCTATACTAAATATAAACACTACGATAAAAATGCTTACGCTAAAAATAGAGGTGGGATATTGAGAAAACACTTTAGCATGTCTAATAATAGGTTCAACAGCTGAGACCTGTATTTCAAATGTCTGTGGAAGTAAGTAACATCTAACCCCGCTATTTCCGGGGTATATCTTACACAGTTCGCGAGAATGACGCCTGCTTGTGTTAGTCATACCGCCTCTCATCTTCTGTTAAAATGTGCTGCTAATAGATAACTTAAAATATTGTAAATATAACCCACTGCACCATGTACTTATTCACACTGGTGGTTGTATATTCACACTGGTGTTTCTCTAGGGAAGATGCCGTCCAGCTTGGATATTGAAGTATGATAAAATGTAAGGAGAGCAGTGTCCATGTTTCAGCTGACTACTATGTTTCGGCTGACTACTATGTATGTGTATGTAAGGAATGGTAATAGGTGAGTGTAATTGTATTGTTATTAACTTTGGGAAAGATAACAAAAAACATGCAACAAAATGCAATGATATTACTTTATAAAATCTCACTAGAAAACATCGGAAACCCAATTTTTGTCGGCGTAAATATTTTCCTTCCCTTAATTGTAGGTGGCTTATCATGTTAGCAGAATATCTATACAGTGTGAAGTGTCAGCGAGCCCGGTCACGGTCGATGCGTTAGTCACTCCCCTGCAGGGCTGTGAACGTTTCACCATATGAAAGGTCCCCGATGAAAGGAGAAGTGTATCTTTTGACCTTTGACTCTTTCATGGCCTCTGGACACAATGTAAATACTGGCCCGGGATACACACTCCTGTAACACTGGCGCGAGGCAGTGACTGGGGGCTAAGTAAACGTGTCTGTTGGAGCGCCGTGCCTCTGTTATACTGAGGGCCTGATTACATAGTGTGAGAGTGGAGTGCGAGTGAGATTCCTGGAGGGTAGGTTCGACGTGTGATCGGAGAACAGAACAGGTGGGTTCACGCAGATACCTGATGCGCGACACACGTGCATGTGTGATGCTGACCAGAGTTGACTACACGGGATGTCCATTTAACAGCACAAACCGTAACAGTTGGATGAACTACAAAGGTAACGAGTCGTGTAGTTAACTACGACAGTATTGTGAATAGAGGTTCAATACAACAGTGCGCCAACAATGATCCCCTACTTAAAACTGACTCCTAACGAAAAGCTAGTGTACTTTTTGTGACTAGAAGTTAGTTACGGCAGTGCTGAACAATGATCCATACTTAAATGCTTTACGTATTTCTCTTCATGCAGGTTATTGAACTAAAGAGACTCGATATGACAATTATGTGAAGAGTGAGCTCTAAAGATTCTCCAGACGACAATGCTTTGAAAAAACTTCGTATTGTCTCCACAAGAAGCTCTATTCGACAGTTCTATAAAAAGAAATCATCTATAGAGCAAGGATCCAAAAACGGTGATATGAATAGTGAACTCTATAATAGCTCCAAGTGCACGGCAGTTAAGTAAGTATAATGAGCTCTTTGTTAGCTACGTAAGAACGTTGTGAAAAGTAAGGTATAAAGAGGTCCCATATGGCAGGTATGTGAAGAATGAACTAGATAAAGGATCCCCACGACAGGTGTAAGAGTAAGCTCTGGTGAAGAGAGAGCTAAACTTGTGTTGACATGGAAACGACAAAGACAAGTATGGATTTTATTGACGAGTGTGTGGCTGAGCTACGGCTTAATGATGACGTAACAGAAGAACCCGGAAAGGTAACAGACACTACAGAAAAGGAGCCAGATGGGATAAAAATAACTCCCGCAGAAGCCGGTTACGGCTCGGAGGCGACTGAGGTAGCCTGTGAGCGCGGTGTGAGAGTAGCCCAGGTGACAGGTGAGAATGGTAGTGCTGCAAAGGTAAGGAGTTCTATCACGTTAACGTTAACACCTATAACAAAAAGCTCGGAGGAGGAAATCAATCCAACTGAACCTCCGACGAGAATATCCGCGTGTAATACCATGGTTACCAATATTAAAGGCTCCAATCGACCTGCAAATGAACTTAATGAAACCTCGTGTCTCCCAGGGAACGGGATTGTAGGGCATGTTGACTTAAGTACCACGTGTCCCGTGTGTGGGAACAGTTATACGGACCCCCGGGTATTACCCTGTCTCCATTCCGCTTGTTTACATTGTATATACACCCTGCTCTGTCCCGGGGGTCCAGAAGAACAAGTAAAACGTACAAATGGGCATACACAGCTTCTGTTGAACTGTCCCTTATGTGCGGTACGCATGGTAATATCTACAGACGTTGAAAATTTACCGCCAAACTCGCTGATATCTGCTAAAAGTGAAAGTATTAAAAGGATAAAAAGAAATGTCGGAGAAATTCAGAGGCCCCCAGCGGTGTTATGCGATTTTTGTTGTGAGGAGGAGCGCGCTATTGCCATGGTTACGTGTGTCGACTGTGCGAGCGACTTATGTCAGCTGTGCGCCGATTCTCACAGGCGTCAGAGGAGAACAAATCGTCACCGACTGGTGAGTATGTCTACCCCGGGAACCGCAGAACGTCGGGCAAGCGACACCTCTTGTGACGTCACCGCGCTACGTCAACTTTCGCAGGATGCCATTCATAGGAAAGATGATATCCAAAAAATTCTGGATAATATTCCGTCAACAAAAAAGGAACTCAATGAGAATGCACAAGCGGTAACCAAAGAGATCGGCCTGTTTATAGATTCCTTCATCAAGGCCGTGGAGCTACACCGGAAGTCCCTGTTACAGCAAGTCAGCACCGTTCTACAGGCAAAAGAGACAAAGGTACAACAACAAGAAAACCATCTGTGTCAGTTACTTAGCAGCTTTGAGAATGGTTGTAGCATCGCTGACGATTTGTCCTTATATGGTACGGAGAGTGAAATTGCAGCATTGGAAACAACCGTGTCAATCAGATTGAACAAGCTTATAGATATTTCGACACATGAGTGTGTTCCCATAGACACAACGTTTACTTTTTGTCCAGAAGTAAAAGCAGAAGTGTTTGAAAACTTCCAGATGTTTGGACAAGTGCAGGGATCACAAGTGTGTCCCCGTAAATGTCACGTGTCAACAACAGGTAAGTTATGTCCAAACACACCTTCACATATACGTCTTTTAAGTTTAGGAACCGCCCGTGGTCCTTTTTGATACTATCTGACATCTCAGCTGCTGATAGCGCTCGTCACCAGTAGTGTCACACTGAGCTCGAGATTTGTTGTAAAAAGATACGGCATTAGAATAGAAATATCCAATAACGTATAACACCCTTTCCCTTTATGCCTTATGTATATTTCAGTCTAAATGATTATTTTCTTATCTGTGGTCTTGAGCAAGTCTAATATATATGGTCAAGAGCGCGTATACTTAGCGGACAGGAACTAATCACACACTGCGACTATTTACAACAAGCGATAGTGTAATAGCTTACAGTGCTAGTAAGTGGGAGTCTATCGAGATAAACGTCGAGGGATTTATCATGATGAATGGCCCGATTGATCTACTGACCAATGTGAGACCACAGGGACCTGGCAATTTAATACGTCTAATATTACTCTCTACACACCAAACATACAAACAGAAACAGTTGTTTGGTTCCTGTGTCTGGGATTAGAACACTTACACAGTAAAGTAAACGGCACAAGACCCAGAGCCAATTTGTTTATCACTATTCATGGGGCTATAATCCATATAGGTAGTGGATATTGTACATAGGGAAATGTTAGTAAGGAGGAGAGGGAGTGGATATTGTACATAGGGAAATGTTAGTAAGGAGGGGGGGAAGGGGATATTGTACATAGGGAAATGTTAGTAAGGAGGGGGGGAAGGGGATATTGTACATAGGGAAATGTTAGTAAGGAGGAGAGGAAGTGGATATTGTACATAGGGCAATGTTAGTAAGGAGGCGAGGTAGTGGATATTGTACATAGGGAAATGTTAATAAGGAGGAGAGGTAGTGGATATTGTACATAGGGAAATGTTAATAAGGAGGAGAGGTAGTGGATATTGCCATGTACATAGGGAAATGTTAGTAAGGAGGAGAGGGAGTGGATATTGTACATAGGGAAATGTTAATAAGGAGGAGAGGTAGTGGATATTGTACATAGGGAAATGTTAGTAAGGAGGGGAGGTAGTGGATATTGTACATAGGGAAATGTTAATAAGGAGGAGAGGTAGTGGATATTGCCATGTACATAGGGAAATGTTAGTAAGGAGGAGAGGGAGTGGATATTGTACATAGGGAAATGTTAATAAGGAGGAGAGGTAGTGGATATTGTACATAGGGAAGTGTTAATAAGGAGGAGAGGTAGTGGATATTGCCATATAGAGCTCCCCTATCACATTATAGTGATTACATCGTCGTCGGTGGATATTGTACATAGGGCAATGTTAGTAAGGAGGCGAGGTAGTGGATATTGTACATAGGGAAATGTTAGTAAGGAGGAGAGGGAGTGGATATTGTACATAGGGAAATGTTAGTAAGGAGGAGAGGAAGTGGATATTGTACATAGGGAAATGTTAATAAGGAGGAGAGGTAGTGGATATTGTACATAGGGCAATGTCAGTAAGGAGGAGAGGTAGTGGATATTGTACATAGGGAAGTGTTAATAAGGAGGAGAGGTAGTGGATATTGCCATATAGAGCTCCCCTATCACATTATAGTGATTACATCGTCGTCGGTGGATATTGTACATAGGGCAATGTTAGTAAGGAGGAGAGATAGTGGATATTGTACATAGGGAAATGTTAGTAAGGAGGGGGGGAAGGGGATATTGTACATAGGGAAATGTTAGTAAGGAGGGGAGGTAGTGGATATTGTACATAGGGAAATGTTAATAAGGAGGAGAGGTAGTGGATATTGTACATAGGGCAATGTTAGTAAGGAGGAGGGGTAGTGGATATTGTACATAGGGAAATGTTAGTAAGGAGGGGAGGTAGTGGATATTGTACATAGGGAAATGTTAGTAAGGAGGAGAGGTTGTGGATATTGTACATAGGGAAATGTTAATAAGGAGGAGAGGTAGTGGATATTGTACATAGGGAAATGTTAATAAGGAGGAGAGGTAGTGGATATTGTACATAGGGCAATGTTAGTAAGGAGGCGAGGTAGTGGATATTGTACATAGGGAAATGTTAGTAAGGAGGGGGGGAAGGGGATATTGTACATAGGGAAATGTTAGTAAGGAGGGGGGGAAGGGGATATTGTACATAGGGAAATGTTAGTAAGGAGGAGAGTTAGTGGATATTGTACATAGGGCAATGTTAGTAAGGAGGAGGGGTAGTGGATATTGTACATAGGGAAATGTTAGTAAGGAGGAGAGTTAGTGGATATTGTACATAGGGCAATGTTAGTAAGGAGGAGAGGTAGTGGATATTGTACATAGGGAAATGTTAATAAGGAGGAGAGGTAGTGGATATTGCCATATAGAGCTCCCCTATCACATTATAGTGATTACATCGTCGTCGTACAAACTTGCTTCTGTGCCCATGTATACAATTAGTGCAAACGTGCCAGGCTTAGAGCTGTGTATCTGATCAGCCATGTGCTGTGCTCATTCTTGTAATGATGGAGAATTTCTGTAACGATCTGGATCGACTGGGTATTACTGTCCTAATGAGATACAAAAAATAAACCACACACAACAACAGAACTGGCAATACTCCCTATAGTGTTAGTACGGGATTTCGTTCACTTCTGATAACGTATTTACATATTTTATTTCAAATAAGTCTTTAGGAAGGTAAACATATTTTTGACCCTTATACGTAAACAAGTTGCGTTAATTCTGGTAATGTGACGTCAGAAGTTAACTGAGAGAGTAAGGGAAGGGAAGGTTTCTTTAGTTATGTTATACTTGTTATTCTTAGTAAATTAGACGAATGTCATTATTTTTAAATAGCATCAGTATTCATGAATAGTTATCGCTCTGTTGACAGATTTAACCAGCGCCCAAGTCGACATTCCTAGTACCGTAACATTGACAACCAAGGATGCAGAGGGCGCAGCGTTCCCAAATGCTCAAGGGCTCTGTGCGTGGCTGAAATGTGGTGTTAACGGACATCGGTAAGGCTCTGAAAAGAAAAGGAAACTTGCAGTTGTGACCGTCAAAGTTCTTAAATTGTTAACATGGTTACAAGGCAGTTACGATGCGTAACAAAGCAATGTTCTGTTTTGAACGACGCGCGACAACGCAACGGTCTGTATTGTACGATGCGTGACAAAGCAACGTTCTGTTTTGTACGATGCGGGACAAAGCAACGTTCTGTTTTGTACGATGCGGGACAAAGCAACGTTCTGTTTTGTACGATGCGTGACAAAGCAACGTTCTGTTTTGTACGATGCGTGACAAAGCAATGCTCTGTTTTGTACGATGCGTGACAAAGCAATGTTCTGTTTTGTTCGATGTGTAACAAAGCAATTTTCTGTTTTGTACTGCGAGTGACAAGTAATACCTTCTGAACATTAGCAGGAACCGCGGGAAGTGTTATACTCCATATCATTAGCTGTAATCGTGACAGGAGTAATACTCCATATCATAAGCTGTAATCGTGACAGGAGTAATAATCCATAGCAATAGCTGTAATCGTGACAGGAGTAATCCTCCATATCATTAGCTGTAATCGTGACAGGAGTTATACTCCATATCATTAGCTGTAATCGTGCCAGGAGTAATACTCCGTAACATTAGCTGTAAGCGGGACAGGAGTAATACTCCGTAACATTAGCTGTAAGCGGGACAGGAGTAATACTCCGTAACATTAGCTCTAATCGGGACAGGAGTAATACTCCGTAACATTAGCTGTAAGCGGGACAGGAGTAATACTCCGTAACATTAGCTGTTATCGGGACAGGAATAATACTCCGTAACATTAGCTGTAATCGGGAAAGGAGTAATACTCCGTAACATTAGCTGTAATCGGAACAGGAGTAATACTCCGTAACATTAGCTGTAATCGTGACAGGAGTAATACTCCGTAACATTAGCTGTAAGCGGGACAGGAGTAATACTCCGTAACATTAGCTCTAATCGGGACAGGAGTAATACTCCGTAACATTAGCTGTTATCGGGACAGGAATAATACTCCGTAACATTAGCTGTGACCGTGGCAAAATATCATTAGCTGTAATCGTGACAGGAGTTATTCTCCTTATCATTAGCTGTAATCGTGACAGGAGTAATAATCCATAGCAATAGCTGTAATCGTGACAGGAGTAATACTTCATATCATTAGCTGTAATCGTGACAGGAGTTATACTCCATATCATTAGCTGTAATCGTGCCAGGAGTAATACTCCGTAACATTAGCTGTAATCGGGGCAGGAATTATACTCCGTAACATTAGCTGTAATCGGGACAGGAGGAATACTCCGTAAAATTAGCTGTAATCGGGACAGGAGTAATACTCCGTAAAATTAGCTGTAATCGGGACAGGAGTAATACTCCGTAACATTAGCTCTAATCGGGACAGGAGTAATACTCCGTAACATTAGCTCTAATCGGGACAGGAGTAATACTCCGTAACATTAGCTCTAATCGGGACAGGAGTAATACTCCGTAACATTAGCTCTAATCGGGACAGGAGTAATACTCCGTAACATTAGCTGTTATCGGGACAGGAATAATACTCCGTAACATTAGCTGTAATCGGGAAAGGAGTAATACTCCGTAACATTAGCTGTAATCGTGACAGGAGTAATACTCCATATCATTAGCAGTAATCGTGACAGGAGTTATACTCCATATCATTAGCTGTAATCGTGCCAGGAGTAATACTCCGTAACATTAGCTGTAAGCGGGACAGGAGTAATACTCCGTAACATTAGCTGTAATCGTGACAGGAGTAATGCTCCGTAACATTAGCTGTAATCGGGACAGGAATTATACTCCGTAACATTAGCTGTAATCGGGACAGGAATTATACTCCGTAACATTAGCTGTAATCGGGACAGGAGTAATACTCCGTAACATTAGCTGTTATCGGGACAGGAATAATACTCCGTAACATTAGCTGTGACCGTGGCAAAGCGTCACTATTTAAACTCCACAATTTCACTCGAGTATGTTTAAACGCGATAAGCACTCTTGCCTGGCCTGGAGAACGTCTAGCCTACCAGCATTGAGAACGTCTAGCCTACCAGCATTGAGTTTTGTGGATATTCTATACTAACACATGTCTTGTAGATACATAGCATTCTTTAAAAAGATTGCCGCATTTTTTGTTGTGATAAATGTATACAATTTGTGTGACTAAACAGGAATTTACCATGAAGCAAACTTTCCCCATTTCCGCGTGTGTCGAGTGCCCAGAACTTACGATATTTGTGTGTACAGACGTGGTGAAACCTGCGTGGGTTACGATACCGAGGATTCAGGAATCAGCCGAGCTTAACTGAAATTAAATATGTATATAGATAAAGCTTGAAATACAAGATAAATCTTTTGCTAATTTCAGATAAAGCAATGGTGTTTTTTTTTGCAATCTTGCTTGAACAACGATCTTTATACTGCAGTACATTGCCAGACACTGTGAATTGTGTGTGTATCGGTACGTAAGAGAACCAAACCTTCCCTGTATGAGGATTGTGTTTATTCGTTTTAGCAGCAGTAATTAGATCTGTACGGCAGTAAGCCAGATACTTTAACTGTGTGACAATAAGCCAGTAACTTTAACTCTATGACAGTAAGCCAGTAACTATAAATGTGTGACCATAAGCCAGTTACTAAAACTCTGTAACAAGAGGTCCATTGGACCTGTATCGCTCACCTGGTTTTATATTTAAGTCATTACAACTGAATGCATTTGTACATCTTTATTTGAAATTTCCTCAAATCCAGCAAGATCTATGTTCTAACCCAACTGGGACCACAATATCTGACTTTCAACTAATCAGGGGCCTCCAATGAGTTGCCATGTTAACAGATTTTGAAATAAGTAATATGTCATATTACAGGGTGTAATTAGACAATACTTAAATTTTCATTCAACTATAAGCTTTTATAAACCTAGAAACCAATTTTTAACAATTTATGAAAACTACACCATAGAATATGATAATCTAGCTGTACCATTTGTTAGGACCGCAGGGGTCAGATCAACCTCATTCAATTAAGAAATGGTTGCAGGCAATTAGGGGATATTAGCGTCTTAAAGCAAAATATTAGATAATTTTCCTCTTTGAGGCCCGGTCTTCCTAGCCTCAGGGGTAGAACCAACATCATTTATTGAAGAAATGATTGCCCTCCCCTAGTGATGCTTCAGACTGAATTTGGTTGAAATCCTCTCTGGTGTTTAGGAGGAGATGCGTTTTAAAGCAAATATGGCGAAGTTCCCCTTCAGGGCCCCGCCCCCCGTGGCCTCAGGGGTCGAACCAACCTCATTTATTAAAGAAATGATTGCCCTCCCCTAGTGATGCTGAATTTGGTTGAAATCCTCTTTGGCGTTTAGGAGGAGATAGGTTTTAAAGAAAAAGTTGACGACGGACGCAAGTTACTATGACTGTATGAAAATTAGCCAGTAACTATAGCTGTATGACAATAAGCCAGTAATTCTAGCTGTATGACAATAAGCCAGTAACTATATATGTATGACAATAAGCCAGTAATTCTAGCTGTATGACAATAAGCCAGTAACTATAGCTGTATGACAACAAGCCAGTAACTATGATTGTATGACAATAAGCCAGTTACTATAGCTGTATGACAATAAGCCAGTAATTCTAGCTGTATGACAATAAGCCAGTAACTATAGCTGTATGACAACAAGCCAGTAACTATGACTGTATGACAATTAGCCAGTAACTATAGCTGTATGACAATAAGCCAGTAATTCTAACTGTATGACAATAAGCCAGTAACTATAGATGTATGACAATAAACCAGTAATTCTAGCTTTATGACAATAAGCCAGTAACTATAGCTGTATTAAAACAAGCCAGTAACTATGACTGTATGACAACAAGCCAGTAACTATAGCTGTATGACAATAAGCCAGTAACTATAGCTGTATGACAATAGGCCAGTAACTATAGCTGTATGACAATAAGCCAGTAACTATGACTGTATGACAATTAGCCAGTAACAATAGCTGTATGACAACAAGCCAGTAACAATAGCTGTATGACAATAAGCCAGTAACTATAGCTGTATGATAATAAGCCAGTAATTCTAGCTGTATGACAATACGCCAGTTACTATAGATGTATGACAATAAACCAGTAATTCTAGCTTTGTGACAATAAGCCAGTAACTATAGATGTATGAGAATAAGCCAGTAACTATAGCTGTATGACAATAAGCCAGTAACTATAGTTTTATGACAATAAGCCAGTAACTATAGCTGTATGACAATAAATCAGTAACTATGACTGTATGACAATAAGCCAGTAACTATGACTGTATGACAATAAGCCATTTACTATTGCTGTATGACAACAAGCCAGTAAATATAGCTGTATGACAATAAGCCAGTAACTATGACTGTATGACAATTAGCCAGTAACTATATCTGTATGACAATAGGCCAGTAACTATAGCTGTATGACAATAAGCCATTTACTATGACTGTTATGACAATAAGCCAGTAAGTATAGCTGTATGACAACAAGCCAGTAACTATGGCTGTATGACAATAAGCCAGTAACTATAGCTGTATGACAACAAGCCAGTAACTATAGATGTATGACAATAGGCCAGTAACTATAGCTGTATGACAATAAGCCAGTAACTATAGCTGTATCACAATAAGCCAGTTACTATTACTGTTATGACAATAAGCCAGTAACTATAGATGTATGACAACAAGCCAGTAACTATAGCTGTATGACAACAAGCCAGTAGCTAGACCCGTTTGACAATTATCCAGTTACTGAACTTTTATGACAATAATCTATTAACTGTGGTTTATGACAAAGGCTAGCAGTGATTTCCGTTTTTCATGACATTTGTATGGATGTATTGTGAATGGAAGTAAGCCTAATGTATATGGTTCGGTTACAATGTCGTGTGATATAATTAATCAATATGTTACCGACGTGTCTGTTGACAGACGTCAGACCGTAACGGTGAGTGAGCGGGACGATGCTGCCTACGACCTGACCTTTACTCCCCGACAGTCGGGTCAACATCAGCTGTTTGTCATGGTCGGCAAGCAAGATATACCGGTGAGTTCATATTTATTTTAGTTTGTATAAAAATACTTATCATTGCTCATAAAACACTTGATGTTTGTGTATTTCACTGAAAAAGTACACCTTGTTGTTTTACTGGCTATCGGCATATTGTATCTGTTATAACAGGACTGTCCATTTAAGTTTGAGGTGAAACCAAAATGGCGGGAACATACGGGTACTTGGCAGTGCTGCACGTTCTGCTCCTCAGCGGGAAAGATGGACGTCCCATGCGGATGTGGTTCTATTGTCCGAGGTAATGGTCAGAGTAAAAAGATTGTTTTAAAAGCATACATTTAAAACAAATCAGGACTATATCGATATGGCTTTCTACAACCTATACAAAGATATCTGATATACTTTAGGAGATATCTGATATACTTATAAACGAAAATGATACCTCTTTTAATTCATGAGATGTCTTGTTAACAATGAAAACATCACATTATTGTTTTATGAAAACATCACATTATTGTTTTTTAAGTGACTGCCATAAAAAAAATCAATGTGTATCTGTCGCCTTCATTTCAAGATTTTTTTTTTTTCCTATTTAAAAGTAAATCTGTAGTTTGCATGCATTATAAACAAGAACCGTTTCGCTTACGTTGTCAATACCATTTGTAGGCGAGTATGGTCATGCGCATTCTGAAGTAGTTTTGTTTGGAGTTTGAAATATTCATATTTATAAATGCAATAGTGATTTGTGTCTACTAAACCAATTACAGAAAGCGTATGTGTAAATTTTTTCCCGGGAGTAATTCCGATTAGCTAATATATATTGATAAAGTTAGGATAGCTGCTAATGATGTGATCCGACGACACAGAGTCGAATTGAACAATGTAGCGGCTATAGTATGGTGAGTTTGAACGTGGCATGTAGATATAGTCATATGCATTGATTTGAGGTATTAATATGTTCTCCAGCATACCTATAAAACTTACAATTTTGCCCTAATGTTTAGGCAACAACCCCGATGTTTTATAGAGCAGGAGATAAATAACTGTGAACAAGCGATCGACCATAATTTTATTTTTTACTAACTACACATACCCCTCATATCGTCTGCATCATCTCTTGGCATAATTACAAAAATAGTCACTTCATTAAAAACAAACCTTGACCGTTAACTTTCCTTCCACACAAGTAACATCTCCTTCCCTATTTATGGAGTTACAGGTCGCTGTTGATTCGGTATTCCATATCCTGTTATAAGTATCAGGATTTTCTGGATCAATGCGTCAAGTTTACCAATGATTTCTGTCTGAGATACTTCAATCTACGTTGAAGAAATTTCCGGCCGTCGTCACATCTTGATTTCCAGCTGTATTATTTTGATTGGTCGTCATCATCACCCGATTTCCATCTGAGTTATTTTGATTGGTCGTCATTATCACCTGATTTCCAGCTGTGGTATTTGATTGGTCGTTGATTATTTCCTTGATATAACATGAGTCATGATTATGGGATGTGGCTTACGAAACGCTTTTTAGCTATTTAATGTCGATTCCGATGTCTGTCTTCTTCCCGTGTCCTAGCGACCTGCTGATGCCCAAGAGGTCCGTAGATTGTACCTGGACCTAAACGCCAGTAAATCTTCCATTCTATAAGAACAGGTGATCTCTTACCCTGGACAGGTGTATACAAGAACAGGTGATCTCTTACCCTGGACATGTGTATACAAGAACAGGTGATCTCTTACCCTGGACATATGTATACAAGAACAGGTGATCTCAAACCCTGGACATATGTATACAAGAACAGGTGATCTCTTACTCTGGACATATGTATACAAGAACAGGTGATCTCAAACCCTGGACAGGTGTATACAAGAACAGGTGATCTCTTACTCTGGACAGGTGTATACAAGAACAGGTGATCTCTTACTCTGGACAAATACAAGAACAGGTGATCTCTTACCCTGGACAGGTGTATACACGAACAAGTGATCTCTTAACCTGGACAGGTGTATACAAGAACAAGTGATCTCAGACCCTGGACAGGTGTATACAAGAACAGGTGATCTCTTACTCTGGACAGGTGTATACAAGAACAGGTGATCTCTTACTCTGGACAGGTGTATACAAGAACAGGTGATCTCTTACCCTCGACAGGTGTATACAAGAACAGGTGATCTCATACCCTGGACAGGTGTATTCAAGAACAGGTGATCTCTACCCTGGACAGGTGTATACAAGAACAGGTGATCTCTTACCCTGGACAGGTGTAAACAAGAACAGGTGATCTTGGGAAGAAGCTATGAAAACGTCAAGCCACAGTGGTGTCTTGGTACCTAAGGCTTCCTCTTCTGGTTCTGGAGTCCGATTGTTAAAATAGTTGTTGTAGGCTGGAATCAACGTGGTGATGAATGGTACCTAGCTGAGGTAAAAATCATGTTCCCAATACGCAATTCCTTCCGATTTGAAGTCCCCTACTGCTAATTTTGTGGCACGTCGCTGTACCTCCTCAGGTTCTTTAGTATGGTTCAGGTGTATCGGTCCAAGACTGAGGCGGCATATTCTAGTGTTGGGCGGACAAGCGTGTTATATGCCTGGACATTGACATTTGAGGAAGCCGATGGATCGTGATACTCGTACTGATATGTTGTTCGTGTGAATTCGCCATTACAGACATGATAAAATGGTGACTTCCATGCACTTGCTAGAGTGTACAGTCACTACTGCGTGTAGTTTGTGTTCAATGTAGCTGGTAAATAGACTTGCATGGCTACTGTGCACGGCAACATACTTCTCGTGGTTGAACTGTATTTGCAAGGTGTCCACCCATTTCGGAGATTTTCATGCAACTATCAGCGAATTCGTGCAAGGTAGAGTCCACTGATTCTGGCAATTCGATGATGTGTAGCAGAAATGGTAGCTGATGGTTAGTTGGTAAAATTTCACGCAATGTTTCCAGTTGTGCGAAAATGCATCAAGTCAGCCGTGGATGCCGTTGTCGATTCCGTAGTGTTGTACTTTAGTAGTCTCTGGTTGGAGACACTAGGCCTATCAAACGCCTTACTGAAGGGCAGGAGCTCGAGGTCGTCTCTGTCGATTGTTTTAGCTCTGTTTCGCACGGTCCTCTTTTACGAAAGCCATACTGAATGTCAGTGTTTGTGTTGGTTCATGATGTTTCCCTTTTGTTTTGGTATCGACATCAAGTTACCATACTGTCCTTAGTGTGTTCACGCCGCATTATATTTCCTATGTATAAAACTGAAATTGCAATAATACTGTCCAGTTTACGGCCGAGTCTATGTTGAATGGTAACAAGTGTGTCATTTGTTGTTTGCTGTCTCTTGAACTGTATCTGCATGTCAATCGTTTGCTGATAAAACTGAGAACAAATTGTTTGGTCTTGTGTGCCGCTATGTGATATGTGTCAATGTCTTACAGGGTCTCGGGGATGTTGGCATGCGCACCCTGGATATCCAGGAGGGCCACACTGGACGTGTTGTGGGAAAATGCTGAGGCAATCAGAATGTATTTATGCAATAAGAAAAAACGACTCAAATGTGTTGGAAGTAACTTTATAGTAAGATGTATTTACAAGTCAATAATATATACAAATTTATATAAGATAGTTTATACATATGTATTGTTAATCAAATTTTTAAAATACAATATTAAAAAATGATTAAATAACGTTATTTTATATTTTGTTGGGAAACCGTTTTGGTTTGTATTTTGAAACACATTAAATAGGACAGAACGGATATCTTCTTCACGTAAACGTGTTGAATGTAAAAATGGATGCTATCATCGCAATCATAAACATCACAGATACGTGAATCCATCACTTACACTACGAATATTTAAAGAAACCATTATTTACCTAAATCTTTCATTAAACATCACATACATCTAAATATACAGTCACTTACACAATAAAAGTCCAATTATACCGTCACTTGCATCATATAAATCTAATTATACCGTCCCTTACACCACAGAAATATAGTTATACCCGTCACTTACATTACATATAACATCACAGATATCTAATTAAACCGTCACTAACATCACATATATATAATTATACCGTCACTTACATCACATATATATAATTATACCGTCATTTACACCACAGATATCCAATCATATCATCACTTACGTCACACCTATTTATCTAATTATTCCATCACTTACACAACAGAAATCCAATTATACCGTCTCTTACATCATACAAATCTAATTATACCCGTCACTTACACCACATTAATATAATTATACCGTCCCTTACACCACAGAAATATAATTATACCCGTCACTTACACCACATTAAAATATAATTATACCGTCCCTTAAACCACAGAAATATAATTATACCCGTCACTTACACCACATTAATATAATTATACCGTCCCTTACACCACAGAAATCTAATTATACCCGTCACTTACACCACAGATATCCAATTATACCGTCACTTACTTCACATATATATAATTATACCGTCGCTTACATCACAAACATCTAATTATACCGTCACTTACATCACAAACATATAATTATACCGTCACTTATATCACAAACATCTAATTATACCGTCACTTACACCACAGAAATCTAATTATACCGTCACTTACATCACAAACATCTAATTATACCGTCACTTACATCACATATCACAAATCTAATTACAAAGTCACTTACGTCACATATATATAATTATACCGTCACTTACATTATGTATATATAATTATACTGTCACTTACATCACATATATATAATTATACCGTCACTTACATCACTTACAGCTAATTATACCGTTACTTTCATCAGATATATATAATTTATACCGTTACTTAAATCACATATATCTAATTATACCATTACTAACATCACAAATATCTAATTATACCGTCACTTACACGACAGAAATCTAATTATACCGTCACTAACACCACAGAAATCTAATTTTAACGTCACCATCACCATAGAAATCCAATTATACCGTCATTTACATCACATATATATAATTATACCGTCTCTTTCATCACATATATATAACTATACCGTCACTTACATAACAGAAATCTAATTATACCGTCACTTATATCACATATATATAATTATACCGTCACTAACATCTCATATATATAATTATACCGTCACTTAAATCTCATATGTATAAGTATACCGTCACTTATATCACATATATATAATTATACTGTCACTAACACGACAGAAATCTAATTATACCGTCACTTACATCATACAAATCTAATTATATCGGTACTTATATCATATTTATCTAATTATTCCATCACTTACACCACAGAAATCTAATTACACCGTCACTTACACCACATTAATCTAATTATACCCGTCACTTACACCACATTAATCTAATTATACCCGTCACTTACATTACATATTACATCACAGAAATCTAATTATACCGTCACTTACACCACAGAAATCTAATTTTAACGTCACATATATATAATTATACTGTCACTAACACGACAGAAATCTAATTATACCAACACTTATATCCCATATATATAATTATACCGTCTCTTTCATCACATATATATAACTATACCGTCACTTACATAACAGAAATCTAATTATACCAACACTTATATCCCATATATATAATTATACCGCCACTAACATCTCATATATATAATTATACCGCCACTAACATCTCATATATATAATTATACCGCCACTAACATCTCATATATATAATTATACCGTCACTATCATAACAGAAATCTAATTCACCTACACCACAGAAATCTAATTATACCGTCCCTTACACCACAGAAATATAATTATACCGTCACCTACACCACAGAAATCTAATTATACCGTCCCTTACACCACATTAATCTAATTATACCGTCCCTTACACCACAGAAATCTAATTATACCTGTCACTTACACCACAGAAATCTAATTATACAAGTCACTTACACAACAGAAATCTAATTATACCGTCCCTTACACCACGGAAATCTAATTATACCCGTCACTTACACTATACCGTCCCTTACACCACAGAAATCTAATTATACAAGTCACTTACACAACAGAAATCTAATTATACCGTCCCTTACACCACGGAAATCTAATTATACCCGTCACTTACACCACAGAAATCTAATTATCCCCGTCACTTACACCACAGAAATCTAATTATACCCGTCACTTACACCACAGAAATATAATTATACCGTCACTTACACCACAGAAATCTAATTATACAAGTCACTTACACCACAGAAATCTAATTATACCGTCCCTTACACCACAGAAATCTAATTATACCCGTCACTTACACCACAGAAATCTAATTATACCCGTCACTTACACCACAGAAATCTAATTATACCGTCACTTACACCACAGATATCCAATCATGTCGTCACTTACTTCACATATATATAAGTATACCGTCACTAACACTACATATATCTAATTATACCGTCCCTTACACCACAGAAATCTAATTATACCTGTCACTTACACCACAGAAATCCAATTATACCCGTCACTTACACCACAGATATCCAAACATGTCGTCACTTACTTCACATATATATAAGTATACCGTCACTAACACTACATAAATCAAATTATCCCGTCCCTTACACCACAGAAATCCAATTATACCCGTCACTTACACCACACAAATCTAATTATACCCGTCACGTACACCACAGAAATCTAATTATACCCGTCCCTTACACCACAGAAATAAAATTATACCCGTCACTTACCCAACAGAAATCTAATTATACCCGTCACTTACACCACAGAAATCTAATTATACCGTCACTTACACCACAGATATCCAATCATGTCGTCACTTACTTCACATATATATAAGTATACCGTCACTAACACTACATATATCTAATTATACCGTCAATTTCATCACATATATCTAATTATACCGTCACTAACACTACATATATCTAATTATACCGTCACTAACACCATAAAAATCCAATTATACCGTCACTTACATCACATATCTAATTATATCGTCATTTTCATCACTTATATATATTTATACCGTCACTTACATTATATATATATAATTATACCGTCACTTATATCACATACATCTAATTATACCGTCACTTACATCACATATATCTAATTATACCGTCACTTACATCACATATATATAATTTTCTCGCACCTCAGACAGAGATATCCCACGTCATACCCCATGCTAGATTTTTCTATTTCGTCCGATCTGTCTTGTACCTTTTCGTTATATTTCGCGGAATTTTTACACTGCGATGTATTCATCCGCGCGTTAACTGCTTGAAATTGACAATTTGCATTTAAATGTACTGTTTTGTCGTTATTGTATAGTTTTGATGTTGTTAAATATTTTATGTTGAAGATTAAATATAATCTACACTGTGAAATACGTTGCAATCTATGTAAGGACGGAATACGTTACAACGCGGAAGCATTCGAATGTAGCTTAAGTAGTGAAGAGGTCATGATCATTTGAGGCCCAATGCGGGATACTTGTAGCTTTTAGCAAAATTGAATAGTTTTTTTCGAGCTTTAAGGTGCGAGAGAAAAACTCAATTACCTGTAACTGAGCGAGATCGGGTTATCTCAGTCTCGGGCTAAGATTCTGTAGCATCCCAACCTCGGCTTACACCTCGGTTGGAATTTTGTTACAGAAACTTAATCCTCGACCGAGATAACCCGATCTCGCTCAGTTACAGGTAAAACATTTTATCAATACCGCTACTTACATCACATATACATAATTATACCGTCACTTACATTACATATATATAATTATACCGTCACTATCATAACAGAAATCTAATAACACCGTCACTTACGTCATACAAATCTTATTATTTCGTCACTTTAACCAGTGTTTGTGATATTGTTTGTGAATACAGTAAAACTTACTGTCAATGTCTTATCAAAGTGCTACAGCATATTTAAGGCAATACAAGCTTTTGTAGTCCACACTGTGACAATACAGGATGTTATACTTCCCAAGGAGGCAGAAATCCTATGGTAACATTTCCCCGTCCTCAAAGTCGTTTGACTGCCATTGTTGTTCAGTTTAACTTGATGGGAAGCAAATTGAGCATTAAACGTGTTAATAATGAGCAATGTTTTGTAGAAAATATAAAAATGCATTTTTCGAAAACAAACAAATTGCAATAATATAATAGATATGTGTTATCTGATGTATCAGATTGATATTGTGTATCGTTGGAATAGATACTTGCGCTATCCAAGATGTCAGATGAACACATACTGTATGGGTGGTACTCGTTCCATTCCATTATATCACATCACCATTACAACATAATAATAGCAAACAATTCAATATTATACCCCAAACGACGTCAAAATACGAATAAAACACAACATACTGATAAACAAAACAACATAAACTAATTACGAATAAACAACATAATACTAATAAACAATATGTCAAAATAACAATAATGAATATTCTAACACGATTCGTTTGCAACGCGTGTTTTGATTGGATACGGACCATGTTCTCATCCGCAATAGAATCATGGTCAATCGTGTTAAGCTCCTTCCATCGCACTTAAGCCACGCCCCGTTTCTAACCAAAACAATATGGCGTCAAGCTCGCCTCATAGCGAAATCCCGCTGATAAGGCTAGTAGGCAACAGAACAGAAACGACCGATGAAATGCATTTGTTGAATGAATTAAAAAGTAAAAAGAACGCATTCCTTGTTCTTACCTCCATTTATTACTGAAGCGTTCGTTCCATCCGTGTAAAGGCATCTATTTAGATCCGAAATCAAATCAAACATTTCACATGTGTCGTATGCATTTACACAAAACTCTTCAAAAATCTATACAAATAATCACCGATTTTGTCGATAAGCACCGATTGGTATGCATACTGACATGGAAATGTAAGAACTTGTTCAATATTAATCCGAATGTGTCGTATAAACTTTGGTAACAGGACGTTCACGAACAATCCAAATATTCCGCCTCGTCAACATACAGATCGAGCGCTCGCCAGTATGGGCGGGGCTAAATGACCGACTTTTGAAAGCTTCTTTCCGATTGGTCAGTCCGCTGCAGAATGACACGTCGCCAGTTCAGGTCACAAAGTACTTTTGTACAAGGAAATACAATGTTTCTAAACATATTAGCGTAGTATATTTGTTAAGGTGTGTTAGAATGGGGATAGTACGTTGTTTTTCGTGTCTATACTGGCGATTAGAACATGAAATTTGGTTTAAACTCTCGACCTATCGGTCTCGAGTTCAAACCCAAATTTCATGTTCTAATCGCCAGTATAGCCACTCAAAACAACGTACTATCCCCTAATTCTAACACGATTCGTTTGCAACGCGTGTTTTGATTGGATACGGACCATGTTCTAATCTGCAATAGAATCATGGTCAATCGTGTTAAGCTCCTTCCATCGCACTTAAGCCACGCCCCGTTTCTAACCAAAACAATATGGCGTCAAGCTCGCCTCATAGCGAAATCCCGCTGATAAGGCTAGTAGGCAACAGAACAGAAACGACCGATGAAATGCATTTGTTGAATGAATTAAAAAGTAAAAAAGAACGCATTCCTTGTTCCTACCTCCATTTATTACTGAAGCGTTCGTTCCATCCGTGTAAAGGCATCTATTTAGATCCGAAATCAAATCAAACATTTCACATGTGTCGTATGCATTTACACAAAACTCTTCAAAAATCTATACAAATAATCACCGATTTTTTCGATAAGCACCGATTGGTATGCATACTGACATGGAAATGTAAGAACATGTTCAATATTAATCCGAATGTGTCGTATAAACTTTCGTAACAGGACGTTCACGAACAATCCAAATATTCCGCCTCGTCAACATACAGATCGAGCGCTCGTCAGTATGGGCGGGGCCAAATGGCCGACTTTTGAAAGCTGCTTTCCGATTGGTCAGTCCGCTGCAGAATGTCACGTCGCCAGTTCAGGTAACAAAATACTTTACCACGTACTTTTTTACAAGGAAATACACTGTTTCTAAACATATTAGCGTAGTATATTTGTTAAGGTGTTTTAGAATAGGGATAGTACGTTGTTTATACTAATCGCCAGTATAGCCACTCAAAACAACGTACTATCCGCTAAACATAACATACGCTAATAACAAAACAAAAAACAACAAACAACACAACATATGGTAATAAACACTATATTACCATGAACAACACGACAACATAGTACAACAAACAACACAACATATGGTAATAAACAATATTTTACCATGAACAACACGACAACATAGTACAACGAACAACACGACGATATAATACAATGAACAACACGACAACAAAACAATGAACAACACGACAACATAATACAACGAACAACACGACGATATAATACAATGGACAACATAATCCAATGAACAACACGACAACAAAATAATGAACAACACTACAACATAATATAATGAACAACACGACAAAATAATATAATGACCAACACGACAACATAATACAATGAACAAAACGATTAAATTATATAATAAACAATTCGACAACATAATTTAATTAGCAACACGACACGATAACACAATAAGAATTAACTACATGACAACTGATTCTTTGATAATCATAAAACAAATACTGTTGATGCATTATATCATTGTTAAGCTTCATCGAGTAACCAGAGTGTATATAACGCTCTAATAACGACATAGGACGTGGACTGACAGGTTGTATACATGGTATTTTAAGCGTATCATATTTTTGTGTATTTTCCTTTCTATATAAATGACACACTTCATGTATATTTCTTCCCTTTAGTGCTTATATAGAATAAATACTGTATCTACAGCTGTTTACACCTGTAACCACGGTAAAGGGAGGCTACTCGATAGATGAAACGATGTATTTTGTACTATGTTGTATTTTCTGGTCAACAAATTCTTTACTAGTTTCCTCTTTGCTGTGACAAACCTCTAGCGTCTTTTATACCATTGATGGGGATTTATTCGATAAGCTCTCCTTCAGACAGGGTTTCCGTATGATTGACCTGTGATGTTGATGTTCTGCCGTGGTATTTACAAGGCTTTGCTATAGTATTTCTATAGACAGTATTATGCCATGGTATTGCTAGGTACCGACATGGTTTCGCCATAGTATTTCTGCTGACAGGGTTCTGCCAAAGTAAATTTTATCGACATTATTATATTGCCATCTTGATCGAAATGGATCTTCCATAGTATTTCTGTCGACTAAATTCTACCATGGTATTTCAAATTGACTCGGTTCTGCCATGAAATTTCTACCGACCGTGTCCTGTCACAACAGTCCTACTGGTTACCATGGTAATCCCTCTGCGCTGCGAGTAAGTGTGCCGCCTTTCGCTGTGCAGTCCTGGACCTTGTCGTCCTGCCCCCGGGAATGTATAGTATGGATCTGGTCGTGAATACAGGATAACGACGGGTCCTAGAAATAAAGGAAACAAATGTTTCTCCAGGGAAAAATAAACTTCAATTGGCCAAAATATATTAAGCAAGTCAAAACAAGAGATCCAAGAGGGATCTTGGCGCCCACCATTGTATCATCTTCATTAGTTCTTTGTCAGTTTAATCTTTTCTCTTCTTTCCTCTTATCTGTTTGATCGAGTCATGTTAACAGTAAATGCACCTTGAGGTAACTTTTGATTTAAACTTAATACTGATGTGTATGAAAGCCAACCTTCAAAGTGAGTTTGTCATTTCACATATTTACTAGTACAGTACTTAATGTGAAAGAAATAGAATCAATCATTGCAATATAGGAAAGATCTGTTTAGTTCTTCCTTTAGCCATTTTGTTTTTATGATCAGTCTCAAAATATAACATGCACAACGAGGGATCAAGGGGAACCTACATATCAAATTTGAGAAAGATCATGAGAAATAGTACTAAAAAAATCAAAGATGGCTGTCGGTAGGCCATTTTGTTTAACTGATCAGTTTCAAAAGTTAACATGAACAATAAAGGATAGTGGGGAACTTGCAATGGCTGGCCCAAAAACTATTTTTTGGGCGAGTAAAAAATAATTTGAAGACCTGGCCCAAATGACATTTTGGGGGCCCAAATAATTTTGGGAAGAATAATTTCCACAGCATTTAACACAATGCTTCAGCACATTTATATTACATATAACATGACAATGTTTGTAATATGTAAAACAGAATAAAACATTATATTTTTAATTCTTCAACCCTAGTTAAAACCTGACATGATCCACTCCATTCAGGTCTTCCCAAAAGGAAATGCACAAAACTCGCACCTCAAAGAAGGCACCCTGGCAGTATTTATATAGAAAATCTGGAGAAAAATAATCATCACATTTTCTAACTCACGGACAGTTCGATTCAAATCGAAGTAATGACAACTGAAAAATGTACTGCCCCCCCCCCCTCCCCCCGTTAATATGGAAGTGACTATACTTACTTTTATTCATTATATTTTTGACAGTCGCCCCAAACTATTTTTGTTGGGCCAGTGACTACCTCACTTTTGACAACTTTTGGTCGCTCGAGCAAGACTTTAACCGCCAATGGCGAACAGGCAACCGTTCATTTCAGGCACTGCTGCACAACAAAGGACCAATGGAAACCTACATATACAATTTGAGAAAGATCCCTTTGGTACTTCCCGAGAAATAGCGATAACAAACTTTCACTATCAAAATCCAAGATGGCTGCCTATCGGCCATGCTGTTTATCCGATCAGTCTCAAAAGTTGCCCTGCACAGCTATATATTGACCTATCTATATAACGTTGTTTTTGGCGTTTTTGAGTAGTTTTAAGCGATAATGAATGAAAGTGAAGCTGAATCAAGCATAAAAAGGCATTTTTTTCAGAAAAAATACAATTTCTATGTGTATATGGTAGCAGTATACAGTAGAAATGGCCCGACTCTGATAAACAAGGCACATGTCGAGGAAATGTAAAAACAGCGGGTTTACCCTACACAACACATGTATACATGCATATATATTTGTAAACTGCATTACATTTACAATACATATAAGTACTGAGAAGTGTATAAACCTCTTTTTTCTATGTATGTCACTTGTGTAAAAACCATGGTTACTACATCAAAAATTACCAAAAAATGCTATTTTTGACCAAAAGTTTGACCCCCACAACTAGTATTTTTTTTCCTAAGTTCTGTCTGAAATTAAAGATTACCTACCTGGTTCCAGAATTATCTAAGTTGTAAAACTTGATTTTTTATTCTCGAACCAAAACAATCTTCTTTTTTTACACAAATGTGAAGCTCACATAGCCCACTTCATCATGCTTATACCAATTTTAGTACAGTTTTATTTTTATACTTTTTTTACATATCATTATACAGAGGTTAGCCATTTAACAAAAATATCACCCATTGCCACAACCCTCTACTGTATACTGCTACCTAAGGACGGAAGACGGACATCAGATGATGGTGGGCTTAAAAGTCTACAACCAGATAAGATACTTTTCTGTAACATATTAGTACGAAAACGTCATGTTCTACACAAGAGCGTCACAACTGTTCCAGCAAGACAAAACAAAAATCCACGAAAGAACAAAAGAATTAAGATATGAAAAATGACTGGATTATGACACCTCTTAGTATTGTAATAGTCGAGGAGGCGACCCTTTTAGATAAAAATAGAGGAACAACCTTAGCAAGTAAAAAAACAACGAAGACGACCCTCTATTTTGATGAGGGAGACGTCCCTCCGATAATAATAATGAGATAGATTTCTGAGCTAATATCAACGAAGACGACCCTCTAACGTGATGAGGAGACATCCCCCGATAATAATAATGAGGTAGTTTCTGAGCTAAAAATAACTTATAATTAGCCTAAAAGACTATGTTGATTCATTGCCATTTTCCAATTATACTCAATCTACGTATTTTTCTATTTTTATAAGAAATAATACACGAATGTTTTCTATAAAGAGGTAACCGCAGTACTAAAGGACAGTACCTTTATCTTCTCCTTCTTCACCTTGCTCTTCTGTCTCCGCCGTACACACATGACCATGGACGTAGCGATGAGAGTAACGAAAATGAAGCTGATGACAACGGCAAGGATGATGAGCGTCGTTAATTGACACTCATCGGAGTCATCCCCGCAGTTGTTCCATCCGTCACATTCCAGGTACATAGATATGCAGCGTTCATTGGAACATTTCATCTCCCCCTCCACACAGGTACCTAGACAACAGTAACAGGTATTCTAACTAAAGGTATTTAAACATTTCATCTCCCCCTCCACACAGGTACCTAGACAACAGTGACAGGTATTCTAAATAACGGTATTTAAACATTTCATCTCCCCTCCACATAGGTACCTAGACAACAGTGACAGGTATTCTAACTAAAGGTATTTAAACATTTCATCTCCCCCTCCACACAGGTACCTAGACAACAGTGACAGGTATTCTAACTAAAGGTATTTAAACATTTCATCTCCCCTCCACACAGGTACCTAGACAACAGTGACAGGTATTCTAACTAAAGGTATTTAAACATTTCATCTCCCCTCCACACAGGTACCTAGACAACAGTGACAGGTATTCTAACTAAAGGTATTTAAACATTTCATCTCCCCTCCACACAGGTACCTAGACAACAGTGACAGGTATTCTAACTAAAGGTATTTAAACATTTCATCTCCCCTCCACACAGGTACCTAGACAACAGTGACAGGTATTCTAACTAAAGGTATTTAAACATTTCATCTCCCCTCCACACAGGTACCTAGACAACAGTGACAGGTATTCTAACTAAAGGTATTTAAACATTTCATCTCCCCTCCACACAGGTACCTAGACAACAGTGACAGGTATTCTAACTAAAGGTATTTAAACATTTCATCTCCCCTCCACACAGGTACCTAGACAACAGTGACAGGTATTCTAACTAAAGGTATTTAAACATTTCATCTCCCCTCCACACAGGTACCTAGACAACAGTGACAGGTATTCTAACTAAAGGTATTTAAACATTTCATCTCCCCTCCACACAGGTACCTAGACAACAGTGACAGGTATTCTAACTAAAGGTATTTAAACATTTCATCTCCCCTCCACACAGGTACCTAGACAACAGTGACAGGTATTCTAACTAAAGGTATTTAAACATTTCATCTCCCCTCCACACAGGTACCTAGACAACAGTGACAGGTATTCTAACTAAAGGTATTTAAACATTTCATCTCCCCTCCACACAGGTACCTAGACAACAGTGACAGGTATTCTAACTAAAGGTATTTAAACATTTCATCTCCCCTCCACACAGGTACCTAGACAACAGTGACAGGTATTCTAACTAAAGGTATTTAAACATTTCATCTCCCCTCCACACAGGTACCTAGACAACAGTGACAGGTATTCTAACTAAAGGTATTTAAACATTTCATCTCCCCTCCACACAGGTACCTAGACAACAGTGACAGGTATTCTAACTAAAGGTATTTAAACATTTCATCTCCCCTCCACACAGGTACCTAGACAACAGTGACAGGTATTCTAACTAAAGGTATTTAAACATTTCATCTCCCCTCCACACAGGTACCTAGACAACAGTGACAGGTATTCTAACTAAAGGTATTTAAACATTTCATCTCCCCTCCACACAGGTACCTAGACAACAGTGACAGGTATTCTAACTAAAGGTATTTAAACATTTCATCTCCCCTCCACACAGGTACCTAGACAACAGTGACAGGTATTCTAACTAAAGGTATTTAAACATTTCATCTCCCCTCCACACAGGTACCTAGACAACAGTGACAGGTATTCTAACTAAAGGTATTTAAACATTTCATCTCCCCTCCACACAGGTACCTAGACAACAGTGACAGGTATTCTAACTAAAGGTATTTAAACATTTCATCTTCCCCTCCACACAGGTACCTAGACAACAGTGACAGGTATTCTAACTAAAGGTATTTAAACATTTCATATCCCCTCCACACAGGTACCTAGACAACAGTGACAGGTATTCTAACTAAAGGTATTTAAACATTTCATATCCCCTCCACACAGGTACCTAGACAACAGTGACAGGTATTCTAACTAAAGGTATTTAAACATTTCATATCCCCTCCACACAGGTACCTAGACAACAGTGACAGGTATTCTAACTAAAGGTATTTAAACATTTCATATCCCCTCCACACAGGTACCTAGACAACAGTGACAGGTATTCTAACTAAAGGTATTTAAACATTTCATATCCCCTCCACACAGGTACCTAGACAACAGTAACAGGTATTCTAACTAAAGGTATTTAAACATTTCCTTGCAGGGGACATGATAATCAGGTGACAAATTCCTTACTTCGTGCACATCTACCTATGCTATGCTATCAATGTAACAAGTTACAAACAAAAATCCAACAGACAGTTCCAGAGGAGTTGCGCGTACGAGGTTTCTGGAGCAGCAAAAGTTTCAAGGTCACGATTAACGTTATTTCCCCGGGTACCGATGATGACTCAAATGGCTGTTTGTGAATTTCCTTTGAAACCGGCTGACTACAGAGAATGATGAACTTATCAGGTTAATGTTGATTCCTGGAGAACTATTTACATGAGGTTGACTATAAAAGGTTCTCAAGTAATTAACGACACTTCTCCTTGTTTACTTTTAAACTGTATTTTACTCCAATTTGTATATTACATTACTATTTATCTTGAATTTCTACATAGATGAGACTGCTGATGCGTAAATAACCTAGCCGAAAAGTAGCCGAACAAATGCTAAATTATACACTAGTTAGAAAGAAAAACAATGGACAGAATATGTAGTTATCTGCTATGGTATTATCCAGAAATCTTACCATGAAAGAACAGGAGGTTTTGTGGCACGTCGCGTCGGGGGCAAAAATGTCACCAAAAACAATGAAGAGGTAGGGAAATATAGAATCATGAGAAAGAAAACCATCAAAAGGGATAGGCAGGGTACATATGCTTGAAGTGAACATGGGAGGGTCTGAAATCTAGATCAATTATCGGAGAAGTTGATTATTAGAAAGCACGATCGAGTTAACGGTGACAGGACTAGTCCACATAGAAGTTCATCTTCAGCTTACAAGGTCACCAAAACACGCAGAACACACAGGCTATGATAAAACCCCGTCTATGAAAAAAATACATAACGTTCAATGAAAACAATACAAACTTACAATATCGGTATTTTTCTTTAGCAGGAAACTCCACTTAACACGGCTTTACAAGTAACAGGGGCGCAGTGATCACTATTGTTGTGATATATATACTTTAAAGTCAAACAAAAGCAACACTGTAGAATAAGACCATCATTCATTTCACATGTCAAGTGGACAGCAGGTTTGTAGCTTATTGATCTATTTTCGTCACTGGTCAGGGTGTTCTGGCCACCACAGCTTTGTCTATGATCAATGGGAACTATGTGCATGTCCAGCTGTGGTTCGTCATGCTGATATGACTACCTAATATAAAGCCGCTTAATCAAACAACAGTGGCTGTAAGTTCTTAGATTAAGTGTCTGCTCTCACCTACATTTGGTTTTAAGCATTTGTTACCAGGTAAACCACATCGATTGATTCACAAGATAAAACTTATAGGCCACAGAAATTCTGTTTGTCGACTTCATTTAGAACTTCGTATAGGTTGTGTTGGAGCATGGACATGATTTTTTTTGCATGCATTGAAACGGAAAATAACTGTGGTTGTTGTAGGGGTAGATGATGGAGAGGTTTAGACGTATGTGTCTGCTGTGGTTGTTGTAGGGGTAGATGATGGAGAGGTTTACACTTATGTGTCTGCTGTGGTTGTTTTAGGGGTAGATGATGGAGAGGTTTACACTTATGTGTCTGCTGTGGTTGTTGT